CCTGCCCCAACTCTCACTAACTTTCTTCTCTTTGCCCAGTTTTATTTTTCTTCAAAGTAGTCACCGCAACTTAGCATTGAGATTTTATTGCATCCACCCACCCTATAAGAATGAGCAGCAGTTTTGTAAGATTTTCCCCAATCTATTCCCCAACTTCCAACTAGTTACTTAAAAAGTAAGTGTTCAATATGTATTTTTATTTATTTTTTTAACAGAACGAGGGGGTAAAAGTTGAATTCCATTACATGAATATATCATATAGTGGTGAAGTCTGGGCTTTTGTACCCATCACTCGAATAGCGTACACTGTGCTCCATGGGTAATTTTCCGTCCCTCACCCCCTCCCCACTTTTGAGTCTCCAATGTCCATTGTACCATTCTGTGTGTCCTTGAGTAGCAAATAGTTTAGCTCCCAATTATAAGTAAGAACACGCACAACTTATTTTTCTGTTCCTGAGTCACTTCACTTAGGATAATGGCCTCCAGTTCCATCCACTTTGCTGCAAAATACATTATTTCCTTCTTTTTTATGGTTGGTTTATATCCATGGGGTGTGTGTGTGTGTGTGTGTGTATACATATATACACACATATACATATATATACAGTCATACATACATACCATATTTTCTTTATGCACTCATTGGTCGATGGGCACATAGGTTGATTCCATATCTTTGAATTTGTGAATTGTGTTGGGATAAACATAGGAGTGCAGGTATCTTTTGGATATGATGATTTATTTTCCTTTGTATGGATACTTTTAGGATGTGAAGTTCATAAACATTGGGGGCGGGAGGGATATTTCCCACACAGTGATTAGGATATACAGAAGTAAAAGTTTATATATTGTTCATGTTATTCTGATAACAGAAGCGGTGGTGAAGTTGTTGCAGGTGTTCTTTTTGGCTTATCTGAGTCCTCGAAATCTGGTTTTTGGCAGGAACTGAGGCAGAGAGTTGGAGCGGGGAGCTCCACTTGGGGCTCTTCAAGGCTGAAAAACAACCCTTAGAGAAAATGAGTTAGCCCACAGGTGTTGAATTAAAGAAAACAAAGGAGATAGTTGTGTTGTGAGTTGATTTTTCTCTGTTAGATAGGTTATTAGTAAGACCACTTTTTATTCCCCCCTCCCTTAGGTTAAAATCGTAATTTCTATTTAATGAACTTAGAAGCTGGGGAATATGAATGAAGGTCTCATTTCCTTTTGTATTTGTTTCCTGCTGGGTAGGGGTGAAGCATGTTTTCTATCTGGGAGAGTTCATTTGAGTGTCAAAGGCAGAGGGATTGAAAACGGACAGTCTTAAAAGTGAGAGTAGAGGCTGGGCAGGAATAACG